GATACTATTTATTCAGAAATAAATTTATCATTTGATTATTTTCTCGACCTCGATAAAAGAACCAACGTTTCGCATAAAACGTCAAATAATCGGAGGGGGGCTCATGATTCGGAGAGGTATTATGCACGGAGGGAAAACAAATATTCATTTCGTTGATGCTACATTAAAAAGTAATGGCTGTATAAAACTAATCGATGGGGAAATAATGAATATGGGGATACATAGCTCGTAACGTCCACAGAAATTGTACGAAATAATTTTTGAGATTTTATCTACATCAGGTGGAAAAATTACGTTTCCAGAAAAACGTATTTAAAAGTTTGTATCAAATTTGTAAAAACGTGAACAATACTTGAAATTTTCCTTTAAAAATTTAACATTTTAATGTACTTTCGAAGAATGAAAAAAAAGAGAAATTGATTTTTTGAAGGTGTCACAGAGGAATGGCCCCTTAAGAACTGTTTACACTGTTTACACGTCTGCGTAGAAAGCCTTTCTTCGAGATACAGGGGAGTTTGAAAATCGTGTCCTATTATTTTATCGTAATAGATAGACGTACCGTGACATATCTGAGCCACCAATCAACAGGAGTTTTAGGAGCCGATAAACGATCGCTTCTCCTTTCGCACCCTCCCACGAATTTCGGTATCGGTAGAAATCGAACTGTCGATATGCTTGACGGGTTATTAATGATTGACAGGCAGGTCCGGTTTCTCTGGCTCTCTCCATCGTATCAACACCAAACTTTCTCTGTCGTTGTGTATCCGATAGCCGACAGAGAAACGATTCCAGCGTACGTGTACGGCGTTTCGCATCCGGGGCAACGCAATTCCGCGCGGCGGCAATCATACCCGCGGTTTAATAATTGGCAGAGAACCGACAATCGTCGTAATTTCAGGTTCCCGGTGCGGAAATTCTGACGTGTGACACGCGACGGATCGACGCTCCTGGGAGGCACTTCATTCAATTAGCCACTCAGTTACTCGCATCACATCGCATTTACCCATCAACCAACCACCCAAGCTAACTCTCGGACGACCCTCTGAAATCGTCCGTGCCACGCGTACGAGCCGCCTTCGCGGCGAGATCCGTGATTTAAACTTTTCGAGAGAACCTCCACGACGACGACGACGATCCCTCTCCCTCCGATACGCGACGACGTCTTCGCCTGAATATCACCGGGGCTGTCATTCGGTAAAACGGCTTTAGTTCGCTCTGCCCGTGTCACCGGGGGATGTTCTGCCGCGAGCAGGCGCAGTTCACGTATCTCCCTATAAGTTTGTTTCCGTTTCCGTTGCCTGGAACTTTCGCGACGCGTAAGAAACGACAGCGACGATTATTATCGAGACACCGTGACTTCCCGGTCGCTAAAATATTTACCCTAAATTCTCCACTTGTACGCCTTACAGGACGTTCACATTGTTACTAAAGATAAATACTGACACGTTTAAATTCAAATTAGAATTAAGACAGGCCTTATCTTATACGCCAGGACAATCGAATCGGCCATCCCTGGGAAACATTTTAATGGGATATTCTAGAGGCCAAAATAAGACGAAAATCAAGAATACCAATTTGTTAATTGAGGCTTCGTTAAAAAGTTATTAACTTTTATAGTTCTATATATAGGAACAGGTGGTATTTTAATTCTGTAAATACTTTCTATGAACATTAGATACTACTTGTCAGATTATTGAAATAGGCCATGTGCAAAAATGAGAAATTTGTCTAGTCAACAAATGTCAGATACTATTATTATAAATAATACCTTGACGAAGAGGTTAAAATACAGCCAATAATAAGACGTCTCCAAGTTTACGTTTACATTGAAGAAAATCATTTTGAACAAATAGAGTCTAACACGAACTTTCCTTATTGTTTTCTCTTTGTAAAATTCATCTCCAAAGCGTATATTTATTAACGTTATATAAAAATGGAAACATCATATTATTGCAGAGTATGACTATGTCTTTGCTTATAATAAATTAAATTGAATCGCGTATAAAGGGGTTGAGGAAACGCCGAAAAATGGTAGATTAATGGTGTTTAATTTATTTAGCGGGCAGCGTGTCTTGCCTAACTCGGCTCGATGAAGGCGTATTATTAATAGCAAGATGTCGACAAGTAGCGGAAGTCGACAGCTATGACCGTAGAAGTTCCTACGAATTCGCGGCTGGTTGCAAACTCGCCGAAGGGCCGAAACCGCCGGCACAGTGGAATTACTCGACGGGCGCCTCCCACGGGGCCGAACTTGTCCGCGACAATTTCAAACTTATTTTAACATTCATATAAGCCCCGCGCCCTAGCCCGTACAACACCGGCGAACCGTCGCCTAAGCATCCCTTTCCATATGTAACCGGAGAACCGACCCACGTAAGTTGCTCTTCCTATATGGAATGGCGTACAGGCATAAGGGTAGCGCCGGATTTACATAAGATTATGCGTAAGCCTTCGTGCATCTCATAGAAAAGGGAGCAACGAGATGGCAGGCCAACGAAACGGCACTCGAGGGTCTACTCGTCTTCGGTTGATAATTAGAATAAGCCGAGATTCCCTGATTCGTGATTTCGAAATAAATTGAATGCATCGAGTTCAACTTGCTAGATTCCTTAATACAAACGTAACAGTGATCGAACATTTAACGAAGAAATTCAATTTTAATCTTTGATCAGTATCATGTATTCGTAGTAACTGGTATCGTAGGGAATTTCTATACCTGGAAATATAGTATTGATAAATGAAAAGCAGCTTCAATTGTTTTTACTTTACGAGTCGTACGATCAGTAGGAATTACTGAAACTTCTTTGGGTATGTAGAGTCAAAATAAATGTTAAAATAAACATAGAAGACAGCATAAATAATAATAGTTGTTACGTTCATATGATGAGGGATGAAATGCCCTTTAAAATGAGCGTTTGTACGAGTCGATAGCTCCATTAGTTCCAAAGATATAGCGATTTTAATTTCAAGTCGATGCGGTGGCTAGTTTCGGAGATAGGGTTTGTTTACGTTTCGTTGTGCGCTCGCGAACTCATTGATCTCGCGCGCGTGAAAATAGTAAACAGTGCGTAGTAAATTCTTGGAAATACTACGCTTCCTGGTCACGTGACTGTCTCGACTCACGCGCGACAAGGAGGCACGGCGCGACGCGTCAGACGGAGACAGAGATAGTCAAATTAAGAAAAATACCCTTTTACATAAATTACGATATCTCGAAAACGGAAAGTCGGATCGACAAAATCCAAAAACCATTTCAAAGAGGAAGCTTTGCCGCCGCTAACAATGTCTTAATAATCAAGAAAGCACTAGTAGTTTCGGAACTGCAGGTAATTAAAGTTTTAGTAATTTCAATACGGGTTAGTGCCTACTTTAACACGGGAAGTCCTATAAGAGAATTTCTTAAAAATTACCTATTTACATAAATTGCGATATCTCGAAAACGGGAAGTCGGATCGACAAAATCCAACAGCCATTTTAAAGGGGAGGCTTTGCCGTTTCTAACAATGGCTCAATAATTAATAAAACACTAGTAGTTTCGGAACTGCACTCATCTAAAGTTTTAATATTTTTAATGCGCGTTGATGGACGCTTGTAAGACGGAGAGTGGATAATAGAAATGAATATCGAAAAATTCATTTTACATATGTTATAAGAATAATCGAGAAATTAAATGACGCTAAAGTAACACTGTAAGTTAGAAATTTTAAGAATATAAAATGATCAGTGACAATAAAAATATATCAGTAATTAATGACAGTTCGGTCGAGGAAATAATTGTTATGCTACAGCTCTCCTTTATTTCGGTTATAGCAGTCGTTACTTATTTCCCCAAAAATCTCATTGTATATTTCAATGAGATGGGGAAGATTTATTATCGCGTGCACTCTTTCTCATGGTGTTGTTAAATCTCTCCACCGTTCCCCATTATGTGTTTCGTATTCATAGTCTGAGCGAAAATTGCTCCAAGAGCACAATGAAGGTTATACGAGCCATAAAGTAAGTTCAGCCTACCATGCCGATGTTTATTTAAGCATGGGAGGTACTTCGAACTTTTTCTTACGTCTCTACTATTTTATCTTTGCCACGCCATCCTTCTATCCAATATTTTCGCCCTTCTCCGTAGTTTCTACGTCGCCCAGCATGGTTTCTAACCCGATACCGCCGGATACGACGCGAACATATCGATGGAGCAGAAGCAACCTCGATATAGTTCGTGAACCTTCCATGGAACGACTCCTCTTGTTATTCCGAACAATTCTGCCCTCTGCTCTCAACTCTCGGAAGTCAAAGTTCAATTCCGCGAACTGTGACGTCAGTATTATCAAAAATCGTTTTTTTTTTTAACGTGTCTGAACGAAACAGGCGAATACCGCGTACGAGCAAAATGGAAGAATTTGTCGTTCAAAATTATTCGTCAAACACAGTCCCGATGAAGAATTGAATTTTGGATAAGAATTTTATTTTTTTATCGCGGCGCATTATGTTGCGCACTCGTTTCATGCATCTACTTAAAAATGATTCCCCTGCACTTGTGCCAGCTCTGTTGTCCAACGACCAAACGACACGAATTTTTAACAGAAAATACAGGGAACGAAGAAAATGTCGTGAACCAATACCCATAGCTATCGTAAGTACTCGCGATACTATTAAATTCTATTCGTTTTAAAATGGGAATCAAAAGAATATTATGGATTAACTGTGAACCTCCTAGCCTTAACTATTTCCACTCGTAATTATTTTTTAACCAAATAAATATTCTTTGTTTCTTCAGAATTCTATATTTCGTATAATATTAATAATTTTCTTTAGTATAGTAGAAGGGGAAGGAATTGGGTAATACTTATTGCATCTTTTCGTCTGGAGATTTTACGTTATTATTATTTGATGTATCTTTTCGATTTCGAATATTTTTGTGGTAGATATTGTGTGGTTCCGGCTACCTCGACGGTACCGATATTTCGGAGGCCATTTCAGCGACGATACATCTATGTCAGAAAGATATGAGGCCGTGTTTCTACGCGCCGGACGTAGAACTTTGCGATATTGTCGATCATCTTACCAAAGAAACAGACAAACAGTGCAGTGGTAGAAACGCGCTCGTCGAAGCTGCAAGATTGGCTAGGTCGTCCATTAAACCATTATGCGAATGCGAAGCTTGCACACACGGGGCACTCGTCATCCCTGGGGGGTTCGGCGCTGCTAAAACGCTGTTAGTATTTCCACGGATACTCCAAACAAGCACGATAACATTTCAAAGCGAGAAATTACGATACTTTTTCAAATAAATGCTTATAGAAGAATACTTTCCATTTCAATTCCGCCTGCATAATTTTTGTTCAAGATTAACGTTATATATTTCTTTACACCTGAACAATATACATCATTATTATTGCTAAGATTTACCGAAGAAAGAACATTCTTTAATCTAACGTAAAATTATTTGTAAAAAATATTGAGAAATTTGTATAAAATACAAGTAGAAAAAGACAAAGTTAATTTGTAATCTCGAAAAGAGACAAAAAGAGAAATCCCACGAAAATTCCTAACGAGTAGAGACAAAGTTGCTAACTTTGGTCATAATTCTCGGTTTCATTTAAAAATAAGTCACGGCTTATTTATTTGTCGTGCCTGTGTGATTATTTTTTGCAGTTGTAACACACTAAAACATAAAATACTATGTGGTGGTCGTGAAAATTACGACACACGCTCATGTTAAAGTATCAGGCGCGCCCGTTGGAAGGATAATGATAAACTACTCCATTCTGTTGCGACGTATTGTTTCAGCTGACGTAAATTTTCAAATTCTTTCCCATTCCCATAGAACTGTCCTTTAAAGTCCCGTTAAACGATGCCTTTTTATAATAGAATCCGACGAGAACACGGCTAGTTTCGAAAGAAGAATCGTTTCGTACATCAATTATACGAGTTGTGCAGTGACTTGGAAAATTAATTTTGCCCATATTGAATGTTCCGGATTTTTAATTAATTATCCTGCAATTTAATTCAAATAAGAGTTTATCATTATCCGTATATAATTCTAAATATTTTATTATCGTGGTTATTTCCATTCATGAAAGAACGAATACATAGGAAAGGGATATGAAAAACACTAACATATATTTAAATAACAATTTTGGTCATGTAGTTTTTTATCTCCTTCGGCAAAAATTCAAACGTAATAATTAGCATAAAATTAAATTATTTGCTGCTTTCACTTGGTATACAAATTACAATTCTTTTTACGTGGAGTGAGTATACTAACATATTATACGTGAATCTTTAATAGAAAGGAACTTAATATAAAGAAATTTTTTCTTTTATTATTCCCATTACCGATTCTCGTTACTCCAACTTATTTTTGCTGTAAAGATAACTAAAAGAATAATTGTTGTTAATCACATACCGTATATTATTTCAATATATTCTTTAAGCGTGTTCTTGATATATACAGGTGCTCTACTAAATCATTCATATTATAATTATTTATTGTGTTCTACCTTTCCCGATTCTTGACGATATTAAAGACTATTACGATTTTTATTATGTCAGTGAATAAGCTACTGCTTACGAAAATTATTGTGTTTGGAAATAATTACGATTGTTAATTGTACCAACGATTATGTAAATGCTAGGGAACGGAAGTTATAAGCACGTTAACTTTGCTTTCAAATTATCCCAAAAGATACGTATAAAAATATGAAAAGTTTAATCGATCATAATTTCAACGAAGACAATCGGACAGTAAAAGTCTAGAAATTTTGTAATATCATTCGATAAAGAAGAATTGTTAAATAGTTTAAAATAAATTCTGAAAAGACGCGTGGCAGTTTACTAATTTTTATATTTGTTCGCCTTTTTAATAAACATTGCAGAAAAAGTATAAAGTTAAAGAATCATGAAACTATTTAGAAGCTATTTACTAAAAGCTGATGAAACATCGATATATATTTTTTATTAATGTTTTTAGATTTAGATACTTTAAAAATTATTACAAAAGGGAATATTTTGTATAGTTCATCTTTCTTAAAATTTTATACAAAATTGACAATAAACTATGCTGTTGACCAGATTCAGAGTAACAAATAATAATAATAATAATGAAAGTATGTGTTATGCGTAGTTTACAATGAAAGAATTGCAATGAAATGTGAAAAGAAAATAATAGATAATATTTATCTAATATTTATATTCATTAACTCTTAATTATATGTTTGTTCATCATTTCTTGAAGGAGCGATTTCGCGGAAAAAGGTGCTAATTGCACCGTGCATCCTGATTTAGAGAAACTTATCGAAGATTTCTATTGTGAGAAAAAGCCAATCGGGTCGATCTGCATAGCCAGTGTTCTAATCGCTAAAGTGTTAAAAGGTGCTAAAATTACACTGGGAAAAGAATGTGAGTTTCTCAAAATTTGAGTATTGGTCGTGTATCTAAATCAGTCTTAATATTTTTGAAAATCCTAGTTTTGCTCATCACTGTATACTGAATTCTATTTAGTTATTTATCTTATTATCTGGACCACCTTACAGATCTTTATACACCATATTGTTTTAAACCCTTCAGTTCATGCAACTTCACTCAATTATATCTTTAAAACTACCGAGTAACTGTGGTTAATATTTCACACAAATTGTTAAAAATATTTGTCTATCATCCTACATAAAATGGTTAAAATCAAAGTGGTACGATTGAGGCCTTTTCATGAAGAACCGATTTCTATATTAAAATGTAAATCACAAAATTTAAAAATTAGTATTCAAAATAGAATTTTTTCTTATTCTTTTACCAATAATTTCTAAAAACTGGAATGATAGGAAGCCTATTTTTTTGTGTACTTTTAGAATCTATATTTAGGAATTTGTTTGAGCAATACGACTTAACTACTCATAATTTTTAATAACACGTAATTTCATGCGCAGCACCGAAAGAAGACTGGCCGTACGCTGACGCTATTGAAAAGGCTGAAAATATGGGAGCCAAGATAGAATTGAAAGGAGTGAAGGATGTAACTCGATGTAAAAAATACAATGTTTTCAGTACACCAGCCTGGATGTATAAAAACGCATCTTACGCAGAAATTCACGCAGGCATTGGGAAATTAATCACTATGTTAGGAAAATGTATTAATCAATAACGATATATGTATTGTCACCCCGTATATGAAATCGTGTAAAACAAAAATGTCCGTGACTACCAAAAGTTTTATGCTGTAACATTTTTTAGACGATACTACTTTTGTCAACTGCTCGAAATACAGTAACAATTACGTGTATATAAATGTAATTGAATTTCTCGATTTTCCAATTTAGTCGTTCGTTTATTGTTAGTACAGTTTACTTACCTAGAGAGCGAACGCTTCGTTCGTAAATCGTGGGTGGAAATCCTGGCGTTTCAGGTTCTCGTGGTTTATGAAAAATATATTTTATTTCAGTATTTTATCGTGTCCTTTGCAATAGCGTGAACAGTACGAAACGCAATCTTTGACAGTGCTTTTACGATTAACCGTTACGTCTACCGATACGCTTAAAATAACCAACAACAACTGTAATAACAATTTGCCGAGATCTACGGCGAAGGACTCGCATAATCAGCTCGTTCCATAATGTTTTCTTTTATGAAACGCAGCCGCGAATCTTCGCTGTGACTTTCGTCGATATTCGAACGGTTCTGGAATTTTGAGGAAGATAAACACGATTGAAATGCATGCTTCCAAGTACGCAAAAAAGATACAGTGAGTCCTCGAGTTACACGATTATGCCAACACTTGTACTTCAATTAAATTTTGAGAAAGATCAGTCCTGGAAAGAAAAAAGCCAAGTCAACAAATTTATTAATTTAGTCTAGACATACATAAATTGGTCTCCAATGAAAAAATTTCATTCGATATTTCGTATTTATTCTTTTACACAAAATTACTTCCTATGTGTGGGGTATTATACGTTATCGTGGTGAACAATTCCTTTCCTAAATATATGCGATGGTAATTTATTTATTACGGTTGTTTTAATTTACCTAGTTATGAGTATCTTTTAAAAGTAATCACGTAAACGATGGACTCACTGTATAATTCAAAGATATTTGTGTAAAAATCGCTTACGTACAAAGCTGATACAAATGAAAGTGTCCGTGAATATATAAATTTAATTTATGAAAAGGAAATGGACATATAAATTCTTCGAGCAAAAAGAAATCGAAAAGTACTTTACCATTTTACAATCGAAGGCTTCGTTATTGAGATTCGAACAGTTAAAGTTTAGCGATATAATTGTTGGTGCGCGCCATTTAATATCCCAGTCAGCGCACGACAATCTTTAACTGCTCGTATCTCGATAACGAAGCCTCGCATTGCAAAATGGCAAAGGACTTTTCGATTTCTTTTTGCGCGAAGAAGAGGTATGTTTTGGTCAAAGCGACCCGGCGTTCGCGGATCAAGGATTGAACCGATGATGATTAATAAAAGTCTTCGTGAATTTGACGAACGCAGCAAAAACACACTCTGCACTTAAAAGAGAAGAGAAAAAGAAAAATACTTATTTACAATTGGTCTTAACGTTTAAACCTACTAGCTAGACACAGGAATGAGGTCCACGAACGAATTGTTCATCGAATGAGGGCGCAAATGTTAGTCCGGTTCCGCTTTAGTTAAAACACTAAAGAAAACGCGAGGCAGAGCGGCACAATTTACTTACAAAAAAAAGGTACGCGCAAATAAACGCTCTGCGAACTTTCCTTGCGCGAACAAATTCGCGCCCGATGATAACGCGTGCCACGAATTTCATGTTTTTCGCGCTCGAATCGCGGTGAACGCGAGATTGCGTGAAGAAATTTACGTTAGTGTAACACATACGTACGTTTTACTCGTGCCAGACCGGGGCTTACTCTAGCATAACGAAAGTGCACACGCAAGTGCATTCAAGCAATTTGAAACGTGTCCGTGAATTGCTGGTAGACGAGTTTAACATACTCTTCCGACGTCAAGATGACAGCTTGCGTGGAAAAATTGTCTAATTAACTGATCGACGACGTTCGTATCTTCCTTGCAACTAGGAATTTCGATTTCAAATTACAGCCTTTGAACTCACTTATACAACGTAGAATGTCGATTGTTTTAAGCTTTGGACTGATGATTGGTTTTAATCGATCGTGAAATAGTAGAGAAAAGCGACGTCGTTGATACTGGGAGATCAGATTTGGAGCACTTTTTCTAAGCCATCATGTTTGCCACTCCCAAATTTTGAAACATTTCACACGAATTCTGCCAATTACAGGTTCATAACAGCAAATTCAATGATACTTCGCCGCTGGGAAATTAATTTCAACGTTAATATAAAGAATATTATATAAGTAAATTGGGGGTTCGTTTTTGGGGTACTTTTTCTAAGCCATAATGTTTGTCACTCTCAAATTTTGAAACGTTTCACAGATTTCACACGAATTCTGCCAATTCCAGAATCGTAGCAACAAGTTTAACAATAATTTTCCTCTACCCAACGATTGCTCTTCTCCTTGATCAATAAATAATTTTTCACAAAACCATAAAACAGAAAAAGAGTTTACTCCCCTCCCTGGATCTTCCGACTTCGATAAACTTTAACCAGCATCCACGTATGTATCTCCTCGCGTGTTTAGTTCCCTCGTAACGAGTTAGACAACCGAACCGGAAAACGAAACGCCGCGCAGGTAGTAATTTCATCGATCGTTTATTATCATTTCTCACGGTCAACGTAAACGATCCGCCCCGTTTCCGCGCGATCGCCTCGATCGCCACGAGCATCGAAAATTACACCGAACCCGGAACCGCGTTCGCGATTGGGAAAAATGACGAGTACGAAGCGAGAAACGTCGTTCACGCGGTCCGCGAGCCCCTCTCGTTCGATGTAACCCGGTCTCTTGCAAAATAAATTTCTCGAAAAATTCAGACCGTCTGTTCCCCGAACAAATCAGAGGCGGGGGAACGCGAGCGTTTTGTCACTGTCCCTTTTGTTTTCGAACTTCATCCGATAGTGGGACAACGACGACACGTTTCAGACTTTGGTTCTGATCTCGTTGGCCAGATTCCGCGTTTGGGACGAGTCCCGTGGTCAGCATCCGCACTACCGTACAACGCGAGTCCCGGTGCACGTTCAGCTGAGGGCCAACAACGGCTCGACGGTCATGCGAGACCTCCTGGCCTTGTCGTCCTCGTATTGCTTTATCTTAATGAGTTTCCTTTTGCCCTTGCTTTGCTTCTTCCTCGGCGCTTCCGTCGTGGTGGTCGCCTCAGAGTTCACCTGGCCCTCCTCCTCCAGCATTCTCAGCGTCTCGATGATGTTCCTCGGCTCCGTGATACGGCCGGTCGTGCTGCCGTTTTTGTTCGCGTAAACCACCGACAGATGCGAGAAACTGGACTTGGGAGGGGCGGTGATGTCGGCGAAGTCGCGGAAGTTCGCGAAGAAGTCGCCGCCGCGAACTGGTTGCGGTTTAGGGTTCCTGTAATAGTTTGCCCGGCCACGATTCCCGCCGTGATAGTAGGGATTGTAGAGACTATCGTCCGCCGAGTACTCGTCGTTTTCCTTTTCCTCCGGATAGTACGTGCCGCCTCGAATCACTCCGAAGTTACCGGATCCTAAAAGTGGATGTTGAACGTCCTTCGGGGTCGCTGCTGCGCTCTGGTAGCCGCTACGATCACGCTGGAAGTATCCTAGGAACCTGTTGGGCCTGTATCGCTGTTCCGTGAATGGCAGTCTGTGATTCGCGAACAGCTCCGCGAATGAGGGGAAGAAATTCTGACTGTCTGTTTCCAAGCTCTTGTTTTCGGACTCGGGCGTTTCCGAGTGACTGGCCTCGTCGGTGTTTTGGGCGTCCTGGTCCTTGGAACTGTTATTCGCTGGGACGATGCTTGTTGACACTGTTTTATTTTCAGGTTGTTCGACAGACTCGTCCTCGGTCGATTGCTTCTGACTTTCTTCGTCTTTGTCTTCGTCGTCTGGCTCTGTTGCTCCTGGTTCCATGTACAGGTCGGAATCGTCGTCGTTCTCGTACTCTTCGTCCACCTTCGAAGCAGCCGCCATGGAATCCTAGGGCACAGAGAAATAGTTTATTAACGTTACAAGGATTGTTACTGAGGAATAATATTTTCATTGATAGGTTCCTTCGTGATTGAAAGAAAAATACAGTTACTCCCAATTTGTGTTTATATATTATAATGGTGACTTGCTATAAATGAAAAGAAACTTGTTTGTAGTGAATTTTTTCTATTTGTTTTTAACAAATGTTGTACTATATTTTGTATTCCATCATATCCAGGGGCTTTATGTAAACGTACTTTCTTTATTATTTTCATAAGAACAAGGAACGTAAATTTTAAGCAGTTAACAACAAACTGGGAAATGGTCTGAGTCTTTATGTAACAGTCCAGCAACATTTTTATTATGAATTGTTATACAAAATCTATTTCTATTGGAATGATATCGCACCTAGCAAGAGTGAACTGAAATAACCAAGATGTCTGCTGCTTTGCCTGTACAAAATCATTACCTAAAGTCCTCTATTTCGTCTCAAGATACATTTCGAAAGCAAAGACAGATTATGAGTGGATCGAGTGTCTTTTTTACGAAACTTGGATTCGTTCTAGCTGCACAGATGCTAATATCGTCGCGGTATGCGCGTACATTTGATACGTCAGTGTATGAACATTCCACCGCGTTTAAAAATCGGGTGCTCCGTATTGGCCTACACCTGTAAAAAGATATGCCAAGATGAAGTGCGTTTAAGTTCCTTTCGCGGAGCTCATTGACCGATCTCATAAAAGGCTAGGGTCTGCCTACTAGGACAACTATGCCGTTGTCCTCGCCTTGACATTTAAGACATCTTCGTGTCGACGACCGCCTGTAAAACTAGTTATATAGCTTGTATCATGCATATGACGTGTATACTGGCTGCACCTATATCTATCCCGTTCGGTATTACGCGTGCACTGTTATCTGGTTAAGGAACGTGCACGTGCAGACGCGTGCAATGCTCACGCGTCAATGTTAATACAGACGATAGACGCTGAAATCAGTTGCAACACGCCAGTGACACACCTAGCATTGTTACAAATATGTCAGGTCAACCGGGGACCGCTATAACTATATCTGCCTACTCTGTATTCGTATAATTCTTTGCTTCTGTAATCATTTCTGCCGGCTCGCTTTTGAACCTATCTAAAGGCAACGATCGATACCCATTGGAGATTCGATTATTGGTTATTTACTGGGAGGTAAGATATGCCGGGTTTTACGATTGTATGGTAATTCGGTTACACGTGTATGTGGTTATACAACCGCGCTACGAGTAGCTGTACGTGTAAATGAAAATATTTGTCACGTGTATAAATATTTATCGCGCGTGGGTAAAATCGATATCGGTTTCAGAGTTTTATCGTCTCGTACGCGTGCAGATCGAGTAGGTTGGAAGCTGGTTCTTTTTAATTACTGATTTAGCTTTTATTAAACAGAGAAATGTGGGTTAATCGTTATTAATCGATAGCTGTTAACATTTTGTAAACTTATGAAATTTGTTTCAACCTTCAAGAAGCTGTTTTTAATACTGATGGAAGAGAAAGTTTCGTAATAAAAGTAATGCAAATTTTAATGTTTTCTGTGTATATTCTTTAACGTTAGCTATATTGCAAGTTAAGTAAAGTCTTTTTCCAAATTTAAGAATTATAAAAAATTGAAATGTACAAGGAAAAAATGAAAATAAAAATAGTTTTTATATTTTATAGTTTAACATTTCCCATTCTTCTCTGTAATATAGATTAAACAAAAGAAACCTCGAGGAGAAGGGGGCGAAAGGCTCAATATCCTTAATATAACAGCAACAAAAGTATCGAGTAGTTAAAGATGATATATGCTTTCCTAACGTAAAATTACGTATCCCTTTAAAAGTCGGTATAAATAATTTCTACAATGCACCTTTCATTGGAAGTGTGTAATATTTCCACTTGATAATTACAGCGATTCTTTCCTTCTTCGTAACAAAGTATGGACGTACCATCTGCCACAATTTACGATTGCAAGATAGGATTTATGCATTCTCTAAAATAGAACGTATTTTCTTCTATATGGCGGCGAAGTACATACTGTTAAGCGTAAGAACATAAATAAAGTTACCAAGTTTCTGATGGGTTACGAATGTAGAAACAGTTATAAATCAATGAGGCGCAGAACATTTTCCGGCAAACAGACGCCGGATTAATGTATTCGTGCGTTCTTTTACAAATGAACCATGAGTGAATGTTATTTGGAGATTCGTAGACAACAAATGCCTCTTGGTCTTGTAAATGAAGTTGATAAATGAGCTGCTAGAACGCGTAATAACAGATGACCCCGATTCTGTTTTAACAATTCTGACCATGATCACGATAGAAGAAATGTCGCGGTAAATTACTCGGATACAATCCTACGGTGACTTCAATTAGCGTAATTACGCATGGAATTTTGATTGCAGAACGGACTTTTTCTGATAATCTTCGACTAGAATGCTCGTACGTTGGAACAAAACTTACGAAACCCTGGATCGATCATCCTTTGTGTTCGAAGCATCGGAATCGCGAATGCTAAAATTAGAGATGAGTCGATACCTGGGTTTTCTGGATTCTCGAAACTTATCGGGCCTCGAAATCAGAAATGCTTATTGTTTTCTATTTTTTTTTTTCTTTTAGAGAACATCCATTTTACTGAAAACTGAAATCTTAACGGAATTTTTTCTGATAATTATTTATCGAATATAATTAGGCGAAAGGTAAACACAAGAAAAAGAGATTCATGAAATAGTTATTTCTGACAAATTCAACATCGTACGAATCTAGAAACTATTTTAAAGAAATACTTAAATCGTAACTTTTAAACACTAAATTATTTGTTGAAATTGGAAAATAAATTTTGAACTATTAAAATTTAAAAAAAAGATGAGTGATTAAAGTTACAATTATTCTTAGAAGATCGATCAACTAGAAAAGCAACATAGAAATGAAAACTGAAATAGATGCCTTTAAAACATTAATTTTAGAAAAAGTAAGAAGCTTAACTGAATCCAGGAATTATTGATATACTTTTTATATTACGTTTACCAAATGTTCTTTCATAAACTTTGACTTTCTTAGACTGCTTATCCAAAAAATGGATTATTTCCCGATTAATTTATACAATCGACGTTACTGTTCATCTTAACAATAAAAGGACGTCTGGTAAAAGGCACTAACGAAGGAGATGACGAATAATATTCCTAGAAAGTTTAGCAAAAGGGCATCCACGCGTTACGTGGACGGGATCCTTTAGATCTCCGCTGGAACCCCGAGCGATCGCTTAACATATTTTTCTCGTCGAGCACCCGTTAGGAACAGTCGCTTTTTGTTTTCCCATTTCTTATTTTTTTTTTTTTTTTATTTTAGTAAACGGCGTAGAAAGGCAATGAAGTAACAAGTGAAAGGGTCGTTCGCTTGAACGAGATCAAAATCACGACAAATCTCCCGGCATCCTCGGCAGCGATCGTAATACAGGACACAAGAAGATAGATCGTGGCACCAGCTGACCGCAAAAGAAAGAAAAGGAGCCGTTATTAGCACGCGATTACAGAACGCAAATTAATCTTGCGGCTCGTTCGTACAAGTAACACAACGCAATGATGATTATTATATTAACTCAACATTTGTACGCGGGGAATCCAATTAGCCGCAGCGTCCAATCCTCCCCCTTTGCTGCATAAATTATATGTGTATTAAGGGCAATCAGTCTACCGAGCTGCAGGCTACAGGATAGATGATCCACTGTGCCGAGAGAAATAATCACGCCGCCAAGAAAACGTAGAAGCATTATTACGGATCCAGAGACGATAGACGCGAAAGTATCGCGGCGATCCTCGGGGCGAAAACCGTTCCGTCGCTTCGTCTGATCGTGGGATATCGACCTACGCCATTTTGATCCCATTCTAGATCAAAACTATCATCGCATCGTAAGAGTGATTGATCGACTACTAATAAGAGAGTCTCTCCATTTATACAAATGAAACTGACGTTCTGCATTATAGTTATACGATTCATTAAAATTCCATCGTTCGATTTGCAAGGTGGAATGAAAAAGCATTTGCATAAATCTTGCTCGCTCAAGTCCAACGAACACCTTGCTGGCAGATAGCATTTTAGTCGCGTTAAACCTACCGGCTCTAAAAAGCTAAATGCGTCGGTAATCGGACGCTGTTAGAGATTGTTTGCGTTATTAATAATTTGTAAATTTGTAAATTTAAACGATCGAAACTGATATTAAATAATGAAACTGAAAGAGACTTTAAATTAATTTACCATAGAAAATTAAATATTTTCAACCACAATATTTAATGAAAAACAAATTTTTAGTCATTTTTTTTACAAATATAAAATCATTTAATAATAATTTAAGCGTAATAACAAGTTCGAAAGGAATGAATTTATCGAATGGTGCTCCACGAAAGCGAACATATTTAGTATAGCCATTCACTTTGTTAGAAAAACATACTCCGATTAAATTAACGTAAATCACTATTACGAACGCCAAAATTGTTTTCTTCATCAATTCGATGCACTGCCAAAATTTAACATTTGATTTTTATTGTTTCAAGACAACTTTAGAACTACAGTTCCAGATAAACTTTAACCAAAGAAACACAAGATAAAATAGAAGATATCCTAGATCGATTATTGATAATGTCAGCATAGAAATTTGAATAGAACAATTGATATTGCGCAAAGAGGCTAGCAACAATTGCACCACCATAAAACATTCACTGTAACTGAACTTTAATCTATGTAAATTTTTTAATCTTATCATTGACATTAGAAATACGATAAAATAACAAGTGTGCTATCGAATGCTTCTATTCGCGATACTATAATTTGAAAATGTCAAAGATATCCCTAAACAAGGAAAACCGGCGTCAACGTGCTAAATTTGAACAAGTATTTAAATAATGGGTGTTTAATCTATTAGTATATGTTACGAAAGTTTACCGATACGCTTTCATTTATTTACACATCGTAAAACAGCCTTTAATTATCGGAAACGATATGTCGAATTTACGATATCCTTTCGGAATCAAGCGTGATTATTTAAAAAATTACAAGCCAGATTTGAATGTTTTCGTTCCGTACGATTTTATGAAACCTGAAAGACATTAAATAATTAAACGAAGTACATAGTAGCCGTAATATTGTATCGAATAAAATGAATCATGTAACCGAACCAGTACGAAATTATAATTATCGATAGTTTCCTGGATTTTTAATATTCCTGATTAGCGGGACGATATCGAGCGTATTTAATGGCCTTAGATCGCCACGTAATGACTGACTAATAACGTCGTTCGTCGTAATAAACGCTGCTATAAATATATTTTCCCAATTTCCTTAATATTGTGTCAATATTTATTCCCCCCTTTAGCAAGTGTTATATATCAGATCTTATATCGCGTAGTGTTTTTTTTTTTTAATAGTACACATATATATTCGTGTCTAAGGATTCAGCGACAGTTATTAAAATTTTTCAAAAATTTTCTTCGACATCCGTGCTTAGTTTAATGCTGCAAAATATTCGAGAATCATAATTCTACTCTTGATTGGCTTTGTTTGACAGGGAACTATTAAGCTAAGGAGAATTTTAAACGAGTCTGGTACCGTTACATAAAGGCTTAATGAGCACGTTTTTAATCTTTATCATTATCTCCTGCCATAAAGAATACCTCCTTAAATTAAATGAAAAGAAGGAAGTATGCAAGAAACTTCTTTATGTGTTCTGACCTAATCTCTACAAGTACCACATACAAATGACGTACCAAGGGAAAAGAAGAAGCAAGTATTAAAAATTGCATTAGGAAGATATTCACTTAAAAGTATTTCCTAGCGCAATTTATAATTTCAAATTAAATATATTTCGTTTAAAATAAAATAAAATTCGTTTCATAAATTTTGGCATTAAGAAGTTAAACGAAATAGGCTTTTTTATTATTGTATTAAATTTATATCAGCGAAAAGAGGGAGCAAGCATTAAAAATTATATTACGAATGCACTTCAAATTATTACCTCGTGCAATTTACATTTTTAACGAAATATATTTCTTCTTATCTCGTCCCGAACATGTGGTTATATTTTCTAAATGGAACATATGTAAGCTCGTAAAATATCGCGAAACAAGATAGTAGGAGATATTAAAAATAACTTCGCGATTGAAATATTCACGTATGAATTTCGTTCGAGTAACCGTAAATGAGGGTAGATGAACATATTGTACAAATTGAGCCACAAAAAATAATCGCCGATCTCGTTTCCTGAAGTAAATCAAGTCTTGTACTTTCTCCTTGTAAAATGGAATCTAAAAATTATTGGTCGATCATTCATGTTTTTCATTGCTGTTTTTTCTCACCTCGTGTTCGATTGCATCCTCAGGAACCGGTGCTCCGTCTGCAACAAAATACGTGTCTTTAGAAACGAGATCAACTTTATAAAGGATAACGCAATTCGTTACAAAATAGTGTGCTAAATGTAAAAATTAAAAACGTGTTGAAAAGTGACAGAATACATGTACTTACTCTCAGTCAAAATTCATTTAATATAGTTTGAAAAAACCAAATAAAAATACACAAAACTGAGAAATTATAATTTGTACAAGGATATGAAAAAATTTTATTTCTAACGTCCACTGGACAAACAATTTATATGCTCCTAGATTTATCAGATGTTTTGAAGAATTTTTCATAGCAAAATTCTAGAAATTTAGAATAGTCGAAACATTACCCAAATTATAGTTTCGAAATAATGTTTAAGAATGAATATTTACGGATTCTATTTACCTGCCAATCGAATAACGCGCGACTGGTTTGAAATTTATTGAAATTTCACGGACCTTGACGTGTTTTCGTAAACGACCATACTTTGTGGACCGATTTAAGAAAAGAACGTACACACCTGGTACGCCATTCGGCGAACCGACCACCGTTATGAACAGCGTGATTACTTTCGGTCTCGTTATCCTCGAGGTAAATATATTACTTCCGACATATTCTCCTTTTATAATGTGCGTCAACGATAAGTTGCACGTGTACCACCTTGCCGTTTAGCAGATATTTGTATTCACCTTTCTTTTCAATTATAATAATTTATGTATTTACAGCTGGCCACTCGTGGGGCCAACAAATACGATAAGTAGCGTAGCTAGGTCGACGCACAGGGGTCCATTTTTAAAAACTCTTCGACTATAGGAATGTTACGTTATTGGTGACTAAGCAACATTTTATTATATTATAGTAAAAGTTGAAAAGATAAATTAACGCAGTCTATTCGAGCAACTACGACAGTTTTCTTTCATCGTTGTCAGGAGAGAAAGTCAATTACTGCGATGATAGGCCGCAAACGTTTAGCGACGACGTCTCCGGAGATTCTCGTGGAGAGTGTTCAAAGTTAAAACGTTGGTACAGTCACTCCCTTGGCTCCACCTGTCAAGTATAGTTTGAAAGACAAGATACTCAGTTAAAATCGCCTCGTGCATTTCCTACCAGCGGCTTCTTTTTTTGCTCCTCGTCCGAGAGTTCGCAAAGAACAAAATTCGAGGGAAATTATTCCTGCCTTGCGGTTGCTTCTAATTGGATAAAACTTTCACGTGATCGAAGATAACGAGTGATAAGGAAACTTCAACCGAACTTCTTACCGATTCCCTTTGATATGCTAGACTGCACACTACACAGGGTGATCCATCTGAACTACTTGAAAAGCGTTTGTTATATTGAAAACTGTGTGAAACAAAAGTTTGTGTAAAGTGGAGCATACAGTGCTATGATTTGTTTTTTTAAATCGAGATTTGGTCACTTTGCTATTTCATTCTGTTAATGAAAAGACTGTAAAATTCTTAAAACAAGAATTTAATTTAAAAAAAAATAATTATGATTCTGAGACTATTATATTTATTTGAATAAAGTTAGACTATTTAAGGAACGTTTCTCAAATAAAATTAAACCGCTGGCTGTCGGCGGTATTTCACAACATCAATTATGGTTGCCGCAATGTAATACGTTTCCAACTGTTTGGCAAATAATTTGTTACAGCAAATCTGTGAAATTCCGGTAATTTATCGTTGGTTAAAGATTGTTGTTGTTTCCCTAATCATCCGTTTTACAAAATATTGACTCACTTTATTTTATTTATTTCTTTCTTTTCATTCGACTTTATTTGCCAAATAAAAAGAAAAAATATATATGCCATATTCAGAGGCAGGTAATTACAATTTTCCAAAAAGGTAATTTTACACAGCGTGATCGTATACGAGGATTGATAATAAATATTTATAGAATAATTAGCGTAACGTAGTGTTTGATTTCAGTAACTCTGGAATTACAGCAATACAATGAAGGTATTGAATATGAGAATAACATTTACCCTTGCAGCAAACCATGTGTACGCTGTTCCTATGAACTTTAAACATTTAGAGGCGATTCACCGATGTACTATGAGAATTACAGTATTGCAACACCGAAGAATGATATGCAGTTTCGCAACTCATTAAACTCCTTTTAAACAGTATAGCTGAAAATGGTTTACGAACTGACAGAGATCTACGGTCCAAAAAGAGAAAAAACATACTTGAACTTTTTCTTAAATCGTGTGCACATGTTCGTTATTACTAAAGTCTCGATGTATTTAATATTTTTTATTTTGTGGACCACCAAAATAAAATGTCTGTCCTATCGATTGAGTGTTACACTTTTAACATCTAATATAAACCCCGTATTTTAATCGTACGTCAATGATCTACTTTTGTATTTGCCTTTTGAAATCGATTAATTTAGTAAGGTAATGTTTTATTTAATCAAATTTCATCGTGGATTCCTGTTTTTGATACAGCATTCCCTTCGTTGACATATGTTCTTTGCATACGTTTCTTTGCCCTGGAAATGCTTCAACAACGCACTCGACAGTTAGTACTTAATTACGATTTCCCCGGTAAGAAGGTTCTTTTGTTACTGGATGATGAGTCAATCTAGTTTGTCCCATCCTTAATCGAACGATTAAGAATTTGCTCGCGTCTTTTGTTCCCGTTGAAGATCCAATTAATCGATAGACACCGTTTTGGACATTCGTCTCCAAAGTGCTGGCGCATTCTATATCGATCATACCTTGTGTTACACGATGACACAGATATCAGTCTTCGAAACCCATCGATATACCTCACCACTTTCTAAAGATGTGTTGCCAGTAGCGTCCGTGCAAGAGAACAATCAGTCGGTCGATGTCGAAAGATATGTGGTCGTATTCTTGAGTAATAACGTATGGGTGACGCGTCGCTTCTTTAGGACATACGTATGTTCTTCTTCTACTGTGCGACAGTAGCGATTATCAAATGTTAATCTACCGTTTACGTAACCGCGGTCTTGAGCGATACTTTCTGAAGTCAACAACAATGAGGATCATCCCGACGGGAACTTGTCCCGTTTGTACCGCGCTCTCGACATTGTTTACGCCATTGTTCGCGGCAAGGGCCGGAGGTGACGCTTTTTTGTTCCTTCTGTCTCTCGCAATTTTTAGCAAAAAAGTGTCGTGCACCGTACAATTACAACCAGATAATAAGACGGACCTGACGACCTGGAAAGTCGCGGTTCATATCAACCTTATTGTCCCATGTTCTCACAATCATGAGCTCCTTACGCCTTATCCATGATTAAGTATTTTATTTAACTTAAAAAAATTCCATCCGTCCAAACGTTTGAAGAACATGTAACGAAGATTTTTTTCCTGGTTTAGAAAATTTCGAATAAGCATCGATGAGTGATTATTAGTAGATGCAGATTAAATTCGATGGTGTCTAAAATTTTGAAATTCCACAAGAATACGAAGGGAGCTTACAGAGAGAACCGATACGCGAAAATTCGAGCGACGAACGTGGCTTCAGCGTCAACGAAAGGAATCGCTCGTTCACCCGCGGTACATCACAAAGACAAAATGTAGTTTTTTGTTCCCAGCGAGACGTGGCTACTTTGAAATTGTAATACGCTCGCGAACGACATAATCAAATCGCAAATCAAACCGGATTCTTATGACCGTTCGGCAAACCGACGAGGAAGTGATTACCATCGTTCGAAATACGAAACTCTCTCGTTCCTTTTTTCGCCCTGGGTCGCAATGAGAAAGGACTCGGAATATTACGTACCCACCGCGAAACGACAGGAAAATTTGTGCCAGAACGATTGAAATCGCGAATTAGGCGCTTCCTACTTTCAGATTTCAGATCCTTTTGAAAAATTCCACTGTGAGCCAGCAGCATTGCCGTATTATAACGTAACGAGATGCTTGTGAGACCTTCCTGAGTGATATCTTGATAATATTTTATCGCCCGGTGAATGTAAGCATAACCGGACGTTGAAAATCGCTAACCACTTCATAATTAATATACTTGCATTTAGCATATTAAGTGGAGAGCTCTCTTTGGCCTCGACACGTCCGGGAGACGAGGTTGTGTTATTATAAATTTTCTTTGATTCGATGCGCGACAGGAACGCGCGTTTCCTGTTTCCTAAGATACTGTCAACGATATTTTTCTGTTCAATAGTATGAGAAATACAAAATGAAAACATCCGAGAAACACTAGATCATCAAATGATTTAGTCTAAATCGAAATCACTCGAAATCGAAATTAGTTGTGATAAATTAGTTTTTATTATGTGTTAGTCACCGGAGAAAGAAACCTGGTCACAATAATGTGGTCATGATGTTTAAAAATACAGAAGTTTTCGAGACAGGAATGTCCTCTCGACCGGATTCTCCTTTACACTTTTTTATAAAAATGGAATATAATAGTTTTATGCCCACGTTTCTCTTCTCATTTACGTTTAAATTATATTGTTATTTCAAGATACGATTAGACTTTTGTATTTGTTTCTATTCACTGGATAAATTCCAATTTCGACACGATAATCATTGAAACTATTTAAAATATAATGAAGTTACAAAAATCTCTGATATATGGCAAGTCTATTAATATTTTCTGTCGAGTTTGAAAATGGTCCAGTTTAATGTCAACTTTTCAAAAAGTCCTGGGTACTCCACTTAAGAAATGTGAATCATGTTAAATGAATTCTCGTCAAAAGAATGTATGAAACAATGTCGAAAAAGTGAAGTATAGCGTGAGAATAATGTAACTTTTCTATAACGTATCTTTTCCCTCATAAATGTTTAAATATAATTAATTAAAAGTTTGCCAATTCGACCTTAATTGACGTTTATTCCCGCCGGAGATACAACAAACTGTGAGAAACGATGATAACCGAAAGATATGAAACGTAAGGGGTGTAATCTACCGGCGATTGCAATACTTTCGTTACTCGTGGTTCGTTAAGGAGACTCTTTTTCGTCTTTTACGATTACTATCGTAAAGTAAATAAATTCAACGACCGTTCGTTGGCACAATGGAAAGC